TTTACAATATTTTAAAATCCTAAATCCGTTTCTTCTATAAATATATAATTTTAAATTGACGCGGGATTTTTTCTGTCGATTATTATTAAAAAAAAAATAAAATAAAATTCTAAATTCGTTTCTTCCATAAATTTCAAATTGACGGAATTTTTCTGTCGATTATTATATAAAAAAAATCGAATCCTTTACGCCAATATTTAAAATTTTGGACATTGTAAATCCCAAAGTTCTTTCAAATTTTTAAAGATTTTTAAATTTCTAAAAATTTTCTAAATGTTCAATTTCGAATGTTACAAAAAATTTGTTTCTAAATTCCAAATTTATAATATTTAAAAGTTCTAAATCCGTTTTTTCCCTACAAATTATTATTATTATTTATATTATTTTCATTTCCTTTTATTTTCTTTATATAATTTCAGATTGACAGAAATTTTCTATATCGATTATTATTTTTAAAAAAATTGAATCGTTAATTATTTATCTGTCGACGACGAAGAGAAAAAAAAGAGAGAAAGAGAATATGAATCGATTTTGGCTAATGGTCAGCAAAGAGATTGTCACGACGTGTAAAGAGCCAAAAAGTTCGCGTCTCGCGCAAAAGCTCGCCACGCGATGTTTCTTTCTAGCGTTGTAAATCGGTCTGGGAAGTGAGCCAAACGCTCGGCCAGCCGTGTCAGCGAAATCGTAACTCGCGGCTATTAAGGCAGAAGGACCCTCTCGACTTATGCAAAAACGAGTGATAAATTGCAAAACGGCGATGAAGTTTAGCTCGCACGAAAATGCCCCACATGAAGAGTCAAAAGACAAAGTCGCTAATTATAATTTCCAAAAAGAAGGAAAATTATATCAAATATTTTACCCAAAAAAAAAAAGAAATTAAACTCTAAAAAGTAATGAATTAATTTTTTTTTCACATAATTTGAGAGACGTTTTCATGACGAGTTGAAAGCAAATAGAAAAAGGAACGAGGAAAAAAAGTGACATAATTTTTTGTTTCGAAACTTCGACGAGGGTCCTCTTGATATTGTCGACATTTAACATTCAAAAGAATTTAGTTGCCGAGTCAAGGATTCTAATTGGAAACATGTGAGCTTTGTCTGCGCAATTTTTCGTTCTATATGAAAACGAAAGTTTCGAAGAGTAAGAAACAGAGAGAGAGAGAGAGAGAGAAAAGGCACGTTTTTACCGGCTCGTTTGTAACAGTCCGAACTAAAGAGTTTTTGGTACTTTTCCCTTCTCTATATACTTGAAGTAAAATGGCTTTACTCGAGTTTCGAGTGGGTAAAAGGTTACATCTGGAAACAAAGTGCACAAAGGGTTCTATTTATGAACTGGGGGTACTGCCTGTCGAAGTATAGAGGAACTTGGCTTCATTTTCGAAAGGCTTCATTTCAAAAGTTCTCGACTTTTTATTAGCCTTCAATATATCGCGCCTTTTCTAGATTCAAGTTTGTATTTTTAGATATCTCCGTATCGGAAATATTTTTTCTTTCGAAAATTTAGGAAAATGAAATTCAAAATATATAGTAATAATTTTTACAGAAAAATGTGTAAAAATCGTAAAACAAACGAATGTGTGATTCTCATTTATATATATATATATATATATATATATATGTGTGAGGGAAGTAGGCCAGATGTTTGGTTAATGATGTCAGCGGAATCGTAACTAAAACCGAGGCTTCTTCTCCACCTCTCGACTTTCGGCTTAGTCGGGACTTATAGCTTTGACGGAAAGAGAGTCTTATTACCCTGGTTCCCTTCATTCTCTCTATATGCACGTGCTTTGCTTCACTCGTGAACGCGAAAAACCATCGGGGTAATTGGACCACCCACTTGAGCCTTCTTCGACTCACAAAATACTTCAATTCTTTACTTCCATTCCCTTATAAATATACGACACACAAGTCTCGACTTACCAAATAAATAATCTTCACGATGTACTCCAAATGCCTCTTTTCATTTTTCCCAAAAATTTGATCCCTTTCGTTTATATACTGCTGCCACATATTAGTTCCAAATTAGTTGACATAATATTTGAAGACAAATACCTAAAAAAATAATATAATTTTAATACAAATTCAAATTTAATTCAAAAGCTAAAATAAAAATTCAAAATTAAAATAAAATTCAAGTTAAAAAAAATTCAAATCCAAATAAAAATTCAAATTGAAACAAAATTCAAGATAAAATAAAAATTAAAATTAAAACAAAATTCAAATTGAAACAAAATTCGAGCTAAAATAAAAAATATAGAAATTAAAATAAAAAAATGGTTTTCTTTTTTTTTTTAAAAATCGCATTTTTTTTCTTAATCTTGTTTCTGAATATTTAACTAATATAAAGGATTTTCGAGATTGGAGATTACATCCTTCCGGATTGAATTTCACGTTCGAGGGTCGGACATAACTATATTCGATTTCTGAATCCGAATTCGTGAAATTAAGAACCATTTTAGGGATGATATAAGCTTTCGTACCGGAACCACCTGTGTATCGGTTGCACTCGCACGGGTGGTCCATATTATTATTTTTTTTTTTCGGGGTGGAGTAACGAAAAATAACCAAACAGTTGAAACAATATTTCTTTTTCAAAATCAATCACTTAAATTGTAATTCTATCTCTATACAATTTCAATTTTAGTAATAATTTTTTTAATAAATTAAATTTTTGTTATAACAAAAAAAAAAAAATATAAAAATTTACTAATAATTGCAATTTCAGGGATAGAATAATTTTTCCAATTTTTTGTTCTGTTTTCAGAAAAGAAAATTGAGAAAAATTACAATTTCAGTAATAAAATTTTGTTTAATAAATTAATTTTCTATTGTAAGTATGTAACAAAGAAAAAAAAAAATGAAATTCGAAAATTTATTAATAATTGCAATTTTAGGGATAGAATAATATTTCTAATTTTTCTCTATTTTCAAAAAATAAAATTAAGACAAATTTCCCTGAATGACAGTAATAAAATTTTGTTTATAAATTAAATTTCTATGTAACAAAAAAAAGGATAAATTTTCAAATTTGCATTTTCAGGAATAGAATAATTTTCAAATTTTTCTTTGTTTTCATAAAAGAAAATCGAGACAAACAATAAAATTTTGTCTAATAAATTAAATTTCTATTGTAAAAAAAAAAATATTACTAATAATTGCAATTTCAGGGATAGAATAATTTTTCCAATTTTTTGTTCTGTTTTCAGAAAAGAAAATTGAGACAAATTTCAATTACAATTTCAGTAATAAAATTTTTTTTAATAAATTAAATTCATTAAAAAAAGAAAAAAGGGTAAAATTTCAAATTTGCAATTCCAGGGATAGAATAATTTTCTAATCTCTCTATAATATTTTCAGAAAAGAAAATTGAGAAAAATTCTTCAAGCTTTATTATTTTTATATATATCCTGAGAATAAAATAGGCTCCAATTAAAAATTATCAAGCTTTTCCCAAGTCGAAGCAAAACGTATTATTCTTGAAAGGATTTTTTTCTTCTTCTAGATATTATATCTGCACCGCCTAATAATCATCGGCGAATCCTTTCTGGCATTTATTAAAAATAACTAGCGCTCTCTTGGAACAATTAGCCACCACGTCTTTCGATTGCCGTGCGGTATAGACGCGCGCGGCTTAAGATCCAAGGAAATTCAATAAAAACAAGTTTTGCCGGACTAAGGAAACTTTCAAAGACGCACTTATTGTATTGGGTTCATAAAGCGTTGTTGTTTTTTTTTTTTTTTTTTTTTTCTTTTTTCTTTTTTGCAATTGGGTTCGATTTTTATAGCTTTGCTCGCGCGTCTTAAACAGTTAAAAAAAAAAATGTCTATAGTATATTTTCTTTTGTGCCTTTTCAGAAGGTAGTATAACTCTCGTCTTCATAGCGACGCGCGCAAGGCATCCATAAAACTACAGAAGAGGGCTTCGGTGCGCGAGATAATGACAAGCTGTACATTCGACTATCAATTATCGCGTTTTATGTCCTCACTATTAGACGGCAGTACGTTACTTTAGCTATTAATGCACGCGTCAAAGAATGTTACCTACAAGTGCGCGCGCTTAAGATGTTTCTCTAAAGTCATACTCGCAATAAGTTTAAGTATAATAACACGTCTCTTTATGACCATTTTTATATCGAATTGCTCTATTAGCTTCATAATTGAATTGCCATTGATTTCACCTCAGTAAATTATTTTCTCTTTTGCCCGTCAATATTCCAAATTTCGATTATATAATTGAAATTTTTAAATTCTTTTCGTAAAAAAATTTCTTTTTCCATCGCAAAAAAATTTTGTGAACTTCGCGTTAAACTAATTTACATAATCATTTTTTTTTTTTTTTTTGGTATAAAAGGGAAATAATTCTTGATGACAATCGAATGGGGTGTGAGTATATATAAATAGCATTTTATCCCACCCTCTCAAAGTATATTCCCTTCCCAATTGTATATATATCGTCTCTGAATTGCTGTCGAGCAATTCTGTTATTTTTTTTTTTTTTTTTTTTTTTGCGACTGGTCCTATACTAATTTTACGAGCCGTTGACTCTCGATCGATGGTACGTGGCGTTTCGAGACAAGCGGGAGAGAGGCTTTTCCGACACGGATCGTTGCCATTCTCTGGGTGACGTAATTTAACACAAGCGAAGCCACTGCACTCGTATAATAAGATCACATCGAATCTACGGGATTTGCCGCACATGACTGCAAAGGCCGAAATGCAGTGAATTTTTTATTTCCACCTTCGGTTTTGCCAATTACAAGTCACATTGTGTAGGCTTGAATCCAACTGGAAACTGTCCATTTTAAAGTAGGATTGAAAATTTCACTAGACATGAAAATCATTTATCCATTTAAAAAATTCAAATTCCACTTTGATTTTTCCTGAAAAATATATATATATTTTTTTTTTAGTTTATTATTATCAAAGAAAATTTTTTCATTTACAAAAATCAAATTTATGAAAAGAATTTTTATAAATATTGTGTTTTTTTTTGTGTTTCAGATCACGAAGCTGAAGATTGACAGCAATCCTTTTGCCAAGGGATTTAGAGACTCGTCGCGATTGACGGATTTTGAAAGGTTAGCCACCGAATATATTTTTTTTTTAGTATGTTTTTATCAGAAGCGAAAGGAGATAAAAAAAAATCGATGAGAATATTAGAAAGTAGTAGTAGAAGAGAGATGTAGTGGCATCTCGATTGGTAATTTAATTTGATGAGAAATTGCATCTTCCCAGGAGGCTGGCTGTGCAATGTCGGGATACAAAAGAACTTGATAGATTTACGCCATTCAAGGCTTCATCATATTCGAAACACTATCATGTTAACTTGTCTCAATATTTTTTAACCTTCTCACACTTATCAGATATATTCTTAATAGAATCCTGCGAAGATATATATTCTCAATATCATTTTTTAATTTTGATTTTTCTATTCAAAAAATTGTTTTGGAATTTCAATTTCTATGCTGCCAAATTTTACAGAATTTTTTAGATTGAATTTTTATTAAAATCTAATTTTTATTTACGAAAATTTTAATTTAACCGTATTTTCTTTTTTCACTTCATTGAATTTTTATTTAGTTGCATTTTTCTCTAAATAATTTTTTAATTAAACAAATTTTTACTTAACAGAATATTTATTTAATCGAATTTTAATTACAAATTTCTATTTATTATACCAAATTTGATATTGAAAAGAATTTTAATTTACAATTTTAATTTAGAAAAATTTCTATAACTAAATTTTTCTTTAAACAATTTTCAAGTAAATTTTTACTTTAATGTATTTTTTCTAACGTAATCAAAATTAAAATTTAATCAAATGAAAATTCAATTACAAAAAAATTTAATCAAATTAAAAATTTTGTTCAAATCAAAAATTCTGATAAGAAAATTTTCCAAAAAAAAAAAACAATTTAGTTAAATAAAAATACAATTAGAAGAAAATTTCGGAAAATAATAATTCGATTTATTAAAAATTCGAGTAAATAAAAATTCTGTTAGAAAAAAATTGGTTAAATAAACATATTTCTATTTAGTGTAATTATTTAATCGAATTTTTCATTAAATGCAAAATTTTTTCAAAAAGAAAATTCCAGCAAATGATTCCACCATTCTTTTCAATTAAATGCTAATTTAGTTAAATAAAAAATTCGTTTAATAGAAAATTCCAACAAATAATAATTCGGTTAATTAAAAATTCGAGTAAAAAAATTAATTTCGCTTCAATAAAAATTTGGTCAAATAAAAATTAATGTTAATAAATTTGGTTAAATAAACATTTCTATTTCGGTTTAATGAAAATTTAATTAAATAAAAATTCGTTCAAAAAAATTATTCCGACAAATAATAATTCGGTTAATTGAAAATTCGATAGAAATAAATTTCAGTTAAATGATAATTTAGTTAAATAAAAAATTCGTTTAATAGAAAATTCCAACAAATAATAATTCGGTTAATTAAAAATTCGAGTAAAAAAATTAATTTCGCTTCAATAAAAATTTAGTCAAATAAAAATTACTATTAATAAATTTGGTTAAATAAACATTTCTATTTTGGTTCAATAAAAATTCGTTCAAAAAAATTATTCCGACAAATAATAATTCGGTTAATTTGAAAATTCGATAGAAATAAATAAATTTCGGTTCAATAAAAATTTGATCAAATGAAAATTCGTTCAAAAGAAAATTCCGACAAATAATAATTCGGTTAATTAAAAATTCGAGCAAAAAAATTAATTTCGCTTCAATAAAAATTTGATCAAATAAAAATTCGTTCAATAGAAAATTCCAACAAATAATAATTAGGTTAATTAAAAATTCGATAGAAATAAATTTCGGTTCAATAAAAATTCATTCAATAGAAAATTCCAACAATTAATAATTTGGCTAAACGAAAATTCGATAAAAAAAAAAAAAAGAAAATTTTGTCACAAAATAATTCCGTTTAGAGGAAAATTCGATGAAATAAAAATTTCGAGATAAATTTCGTTAAATTTAACAATTTTAAATTGTAGAAATCCTGATTAGAATAATTAGAGTATTGAAATTAAATAATTAGAAGCCAGTCATTTTGATAAGAAGACTACAAACATAATCGTTCAGTTACCCTTTCAGGGAGACGATGGAGACAATGTTGGCGGAACAACATCTACAGAGGTATCCCCATCGATTTCCATTTGAGATGGATCAATTGCAAGCGGGTGCGGCAAATAATTTGAGCCTCGAGGAAAAAGCACTTTGGGCGGCACAATCGCAATTATTATTGCGAGCGGCTGCAGCAGCCGCAGCTCCATACGCTCTTGTTAATCCAACACTTGTTTATCCGGGAGCGGCCTCAGCAGCTGCAGCAGCAGCGGCTGCGGCTGCTGCAAGTTCCAGTCATCAACAACAACAACAACAACGTCAACAATTGGGTCATCTTTGGTGGGGTTCAATTGGACCAACACTTTTTGCCGCTGCACATCATCAACAACAACAACAGCAGCAGCAGCAACAACAACAATTGGCAGCAACAAGTACACAACAATCATCGACTGGTCCAGCAGCGCCAAGGCCACTTTATCCATCGGCCTTGGCTCTATCGCATCATAGATTTTCTCCCTATCACACTTCGCCTACCCCAAAATCATCAACCCCTGCTCTTCCTTCACCTTCGCCCTCGAGGAGAGCCACGCCTTCTCCAACTGACAGCCTCTGCCGTGAGGCTCAAGATTTATCTCCCTCGTAGTTGAAGATTTAGGGCTGAGGCTCGATTAAGGAATTTCAAGGGTTCTCACTCATGTTCATGAGGTGGGTCCGAATTAGTTTATTTATTATTATTATTTTTATCTTCTCATAGAGAACCCAGTGATCGAGAGGTTTTTTTTTAAAAAAATGCTGTTCCTTTCCTATTTTTTTGTCAAAATTTCTGAAATTTCAAAAAAATTTCCAAAATTATTCAATGTTTTCGAAATTAAGAATTTTGCAATAATGCCAATAAAAATTTAAATCGAGAATAAAATTTTATTTAAAATAAAATTTCTTTATTATAATTCAATTAAGTTTCGCAAATTTTTATTTATATCTTCTATTATAGAAAAAATTTAAAAAAAAATCGTCTACTTGTAGTTTACGAATTAAAATTTTTTTTTTCGTTTCGGCTGCGATTTGTAGAAAAATAATTTATTTTAAAATTACCTCGCATTAAACGGCCTTAACGAGTCGTGCCACCATTGCACTAAATTGTACTTTTAAGTACAATAATATTTGTATATGTATATATTTGACCCGACGAGATTCGTTTAAATTCGGCCCCGTGAATGTACTTAAAACATAAACTTAAATATGTCTCTATATTCTCGAAAAATCGTGTTCAGAGTTGGCTTTAAAGACTATATATATATACACAATAATTTTCATATAAAATTTTTAAAAAATACTGTTTTTACAAAAAAAAATTTTTATCCTTCAATAATTGTGTGAATAATAATTATTTAAAAGAATTCGAAAATTAATTTTAAAAAAATTTTATTTAAAATAAGAGTTTTAAACTTCTTATTCAAAACTATATATTTTACATTATTTATTAAATTAGAAAATTTTTTTCTTATTCGAGAAAATTAATTTATTTAGAATTTGAAAAATTAAAATGTGCCATAAAAAAATAAATTTTTTTTTCATGATTTTTTTATAGGTATTTAGATTTTATTTAATTCTATTAATGTAAATAAGTAATTTCAAATAGATGTCAAGCCGACTCTGCATGAAAATAAAATAAAAAAAAAAAAAATTGGATTACGTCGATATCATTGAGTAATATTGTATATACGACCGATAGGTAATCTTGCCTCCATTTGTGTAATATAAGCTGTATATTTCATATCATGGCCTATTGTTATCGTTATTTATGTTCTAATCGATATTCATTTTCCGAAAAGGGCACAAAATTCAATCAGAAAATGAAAAAATTGTAATATAATATACTTTCTTCCTTTGTCAGCTCTTAGACGGAAGAAATAAAAAATTCCGGATATTATTATAAAACTAGGAAAAAAGTTAACAGTTAATTAATAATTATCCTAATTAATTAGATAATTATTAATTTTTTTTTTGACAATTATCCTAATTTAATTCAAAATTGATTTCTATATTAACATTTTAATATAAAATAAAAATGTTTAAATATTATTTAACAATATTATTTAAATATCAATTATTTTACATTTCAATTATATTTGATTTATTAATTTTTAATTATTTATTTGCAAATTAATTAATAAAAATCAGATGAAAAAATAATTATACATTTTTTTTCTGATTGAAAATTAAAAAATTTTGGACTCTTTTCGTGAATGACGTTTCTTTTTTATCGCTACGACGATTAGCATTAGCGTAGAACGTTATATTGTTAATGCTTGTATTGTGAAAAAAAAAAAAAAAAAATCAACGCAAAACCTATTATTGTGCGAGCTGATTCCCCTGTAAATAAACCCAAATAAACTCTTATACCGAGTATAAAAAAATATTGTTATCAATTTGAATGCAAAAAAATTTCATATTCAAAGAAAAAAAAATTTTTTTTTTGTTGCCCAAATTTGTAAAATTTTAAAAATCAGTCAAAAATAAATATAGACTTATTATTTATTAATTTACTTTTCATTTTCCAATATTCTTTATCAGAAATAATTTACTCCTAATTTAAATTTTTCGAATAATAACTATTAATAATTATTGTAAATTAATAAATTGTTTAAAAAATAATTTACAACAATTATTAAAAAAAAAAATTAGAATTGTTATTTTAATAATTTATTGAAAATATAAATTTTATTACTAAGCATTATTTGTAATAAACTATTTTATTTTTTTATTATTTTTTCAATAAAATAATTAATTTTTTCAATTAAAAAAAAAAATAATTTTCAATGAAATTTCTTTTTAAAACAAAAATTGTTTTACAATAAAAAATATTTTTCAATAAAAATTATATTTTCATTGAAATATAAATTTTTTTTTTCGAAGTATTTTATTTTTAATAAACTATTTAATTATTATTTCATTTTTATTATTTTTTAATAAAATAATTAATCTTTCAATTAAAAATATAATAATTTTCAATGAAACTTTTTTTTATAAAAAAAATTGTTTTACAATAAAAAAATATTTTTGCAATAAAATAATTTTCAGTAAAAGACTATTGTTTTTTAATATTAAAAAAAATTTTTTTACAATGGAAAAATAATTTTGTTTTTCAAAGAAAAAAAATATTTTTCAATAAAATAATTTTCAGTGAAAAACTATTTTGTTTAATATCAAAAATTTTTTTTTTTTAAATGGAAAAATATTTTTCAATAAAAATACATTTTAATGAAAATAATTTTCAATTAATTGTAGATTTCAAGGATAATTTTCAGAAATAATTTTCAATGAAAAACTATTGTTTTTGTGATTAAAAAAAAAAAAAAAAAAAAAAAATCTTGTTTCACGTTTTAAAAAATTTCTTTTAGTGAAAAAATATTTTTTCAAAAATATGCAATAATTTGTATATAAATTTTATTTTTTTTCATTTCAAAGTATTTTATAAGGAAGAAGGAAATGTACAATATATAATAGTTTTGTGCGGTCAGAAAGTGGATATATTTATATAGAGGGACGTTTAATTTTCTTTCGATTTCTGATCAAATAATAAGATTGGCTTATTGAGAGTGCAGCTAGTCACGAAGCCTCGCACGATATAACGACCAGTTTTCTTCTTGAAGAAAATTCGATATTTCCGGCAAAGTCAACCAGTCTCCAGAAGGTATATATATATATATAAGAGAGATGGGCTCTTAAGTAAATGTTGGCGAATCTATTCGGTTAACCGGTTACAGACATTGGTATATCCTATGTACAATACACATTGAAGTACATCACGCGATGAGCCAAAGAGAGAGAGAGAGAGAGAGAGAGAGAGAGAGAGAAAGAGAGAGAGACCACGCGACTGGGGGGTTGAAAGTATACGTCAAGCGAGGAAACTTGAAATTACGATGCGATTTACTAACCACCAACGGACAATAATAATAATTATTATGCTGCCACTTTCCCTGAAATGGAAAATTAAACGAGCAACGCGATCAAAACGAGGGTCAACATTAAATGTTTCACTGTTGCGTGAAAAGATTTCAAAATTATTCATTTTAATTCCAACATGGAAATATTTACTTATCACACATATATTTTGTTCTTCAAAAAATGGCTAATATAATAAAAACTAATTTTCCAATTAATAATTTTAAAATAATTTTGTTTTTCAACTTCAATAAAATTAATAGCTAATTAGTAAACATTTACAATTTGAGTTAATAATGTTTCTTAAAAATAATTTTAAATTTTGCAAGAAATTAAAAGAAAAAATATATTTTACTGTCTGTTTAATTTTTCAAATAAATATATTTAAAATATCTGGAAAGTATTTGTAAAAATAAAAGTGTTAAAAAAAAAAATATAATTTTAACAAAAAAAATATTTTTAGGGTAAATATTTGGTCTGAAAGAGGTTAGAATTTAAGGGGAATTCGAAAAAAAAAAATTTAATTAAATTCAGATCATAAAATACAATTTTTCAAATTATTAAAACAATTAAAAAATGTAATAAAAAATATATAAAATAAAATGCAAATTAAAAATGCATTTGTATTATTCCTGTAAATATTTAATTAAATAATAAAATGTTAAGTAAAATTCATTATAGTTCAAAATTATTTACCATATTTTTAATAATAAAAAAAAACCATACCTTTTTTTCCAAAATTAATTAATTTTCGATCATTCAAATTTTCTTAATATAATTTCTTCAGTATTATCTTCAAAATATTTCATCTTTATATATACCTTTTACTGATCTAATCATGTTTTAAAACGCAGTTATCAACACTTTTAAAATATACTGCTTTTGTTATTATTGACGTGTAAACATATAAAAAACTTTTTACTGACCTAATTCGGTTTTAAAACGCGGTTATTAACACTAAAAATAACTTTTTCTCACTGAATTCGTACGACATAACCTCAAATATTGCACATGATGAAATATTAATTTGAGTATATAATTACATCAAAAATTTCTTGTCATTTTATCCAAAAACATGTAAAATAATAATGCCATACTGAAATACTTTCAATTAAATACGAAAATATGACCAAAAATTTACACATTGAGTGCATTGCGATTTTTTTCATATAAAAACTTCCTTAAAGAGAATCGTGGCACAAAATTATTAATCTCAGCAAACTATAGATAAAATCTTTGCATTCTATGTGCATTTTTCACAATAATAAATATTATACTCAACAATAATGAGGGAAAAAGATAAAAAGCGACGTTTACACAAAATTTGTTCTCACAACAATATGGCGGACGTCTTCAGCGTTCACAGCGGGGTGGAGAAGAACAACGGCGCTAGTCAACACACATTTGAATTTCACAAAATTATCTTTTGCTTTCTTAAATTCATAAATGAAATTTCTAGATTAGAATACAGTACAGAATCCTAAATTTTAAATTAATTGTACACATTTCTATTAATTAAAACTATTTTACTTATAATAAAAAAAATATCTATAATATTAGTTACCAACTTGACTATATACGTATCTGAAAAGTAGATCCGGTAAGGAAAACCAATCAGAAGTTGATCTTCACCGAAATCAAATTTTTCAGTTACAGTTAGTATTAAAATATTAATTATAGTAATTAATATACTTCTACTCCTATTATTATTTTACTTCCTTCTTAAATAGCTTATTCTTATTTTTACTTTTTTCTATTAATTACAACATAATTCTTATTAAATATTTATATAATCATCAAAAATATTCAAAATTTGGAGAGCCAATCAGAAAACGGCGAGCATTAATAAATGTGGTTAGTCAAGTTAACAGCTTATATAATCGAGTTTATTTTAATTAAAAGTGAAAAATAGATTAATTTGTAATTAAATTAAGATTAAAGATTAGAAATTGTATTATTTTACAGACTACATTTAGTAAATATAGATAATAGAAGGATAGTCAATGAAATTTGAAGGTTATTTGACTAGAGTCGTTGTTCTTCACCACTCCCCTGCTGAGAGGACGCTCAGCCGCCATATTGTTGAGAAATTTTGTCAAGTGAAGAACGCCACAGTGTTTTTTTTTTTACATTTTACCTCATTGTTGTTAAATTAATTTATCAATTGTTGTCAAAAATGCTCATTAGATGCAAAGATTTCACTAAATTAATAATTTTCAAGAACCGATTCTCTTCATTTCAGCTTTTATCTTTGTGACAAAAAGCTGCAATGAACATGAATCAATTTTACAAATTTTTTTTTACAAAATTTTCATATTTAACGTAAAGTTTTTCTAGTTTGGCATTATAATATCATTTGTTTTTGATAAAATTGTAAGAAATATCAAAAAATTTTACTAAAATTATTATCTCAGTATATTCAACATTTGAGGTTAGGTGATGAAAATGATCTTGGGCGTCAATTTGAGTTGCAAAAAGTGTTAGCTACCGCGTTCTATAACCGAATAATTAGGTCAGTAAAAAGTATTAAAAGTATGTTTATTTACAGTAAATAATAAAAAATCAGTGTTTTGAAAATGTGTTTATATTAATCGCGATCTAAAACCGAAAAATTAGGACAGTAAAAAGTAAAAAAAAAAATTTATTATTTTAACAGTGAATAATGGAAATAATATATATTCAAAAAAATCTACGCATTATATCAATTAATTTTGGAAAAAGGTATGATTTTGTATTATTAAACATATATGCCATGGTAAATATATATCAATAATTATGTACAATTTAATGAATTTTACTTAATATTTTTTTTAAATAACTGAATATTTACAGGAATAGAACAAATGTGTTTCTAATTGAAATTTGAATTTATTTATTTTATAATTTTCAATGTTTTTATTAGGTACATTTTTTAATAAGCAATTAAAAAATTATTAATAATTAAAAAATTTCACCCCAACTGTCCAATCAAAATTGTTTTCCCTCGTGTTTACAATTTTTAATAATCAATTAAAAAATTATTAATAAATAATAATTACAAAATTTTTAATTAATATTAATAAAATAATTAATAATTAATTTCTCCAAAAATATTTTTTTTCTCACGTGTACATTTTTAAATAAGCAATTAAAAAATTATTAGTAATAATTACACATTTTTAATTAATATTAATAAAATTATTAATTAATAATTAAGTAATTTCCAAAAAAAAAAAAAATTATATAATTTCTCCCTTACTGCCGCAAAAAAAAATTTTTCCTTGTGTGTACATTTTTAAATAAGCCATTAAAAAATTATTAATTACTAATAATTAATAAATAAAAAATTATTAATTACTAATAATTAATAAATAAAAAATTATTAATTACTAATAATTAATAAATATAAAATTATTAATTATTAATAATAAATAATTAAAAATTACAACTGCCCAAAAAAATTATTTTTCCTCATTTGAATGTAAATTACGTGTTTTTCGCAAGTAAATTTTATTCTCTTTAAATAGGAAAATATTTTAATGATTAAAAAAATCATTAAATTGAATTGTAAAATATTTTCGGAAAGTGTTTTATAAATTTTAAACATATAAAAATATTCTGAATAATTTTTTTTTGAAATATTTTCAAATGTATTTCAAAATATTTCCAACTTATTGCAGTTTTTAATATTTTTGAATTATTATTTATTTTTTTTTTTAAATAATTGAAAAATGATTTCTGGTTGAGAGAATATTTTAATAATTAAAAAAAAAAATGTGTAATATTTTTGGAAAGTGAGTTGAATACTTTGAATATTTTTAAATATTCTGAACAGTTTTTGTAATACAATTTTCAAATATTTGGAAAACAGTTTTTCTAAGTTTACTATTTTAAATATTCCAAAATGTTTTTTATTATTTTCAAATTTATTTAAATATATGAAAATTAATTTCTTGATAATTTCTAAGCTTTGTTAATAAATATTAATAATTATTAATTTCAGTATTAAATTATTAGTAAAATAAATAAATAAATTAATTAATTAAATATTAGTAAATATATTCTTATATTTATTTATTTATTTTTCTTAAAATATTCTCAAATTTTTAAAAATAATTTTTACATTAAAACAATACATTGACTTTTTAATATTATTGAGATTTTTCTAAAATATTTTTTGTTTATTCTGTCCAATGTTTCAAAATTTTTGTGACCGAAGTACTTTTTTTAAAAAAATAATTCAAAAATTAAATTAAATTTATTATTGTTGATTATTAAATTGAATTTTAAAATTAGAAATAAATATTTTTTGCATATAATATTTTTGGTCAATTTACAAAACTAAAAAAATTTATTTGATTCCAATAATCGGTTAATACTTATGATTATTATCAAATAAATATTTATTTGTATCAAATAATTATTATTTGACTCATTTAAATGGTATTTATTCCAAATACAGAAATTATTGATTCAAATACAATTAAATTAATTCAAATAAAAATTATTTAGTTTAATTAAATATTTATTTGATAATAGTAAAGTAATCGATTATTTGAATCAAGTAAATTTTTTTTCAGTTTACATAGAATACGTTATAAATTATTTATTTTTTTTTGGAAAATTATAAAAGAACAAAACAATTTTTGAGTTTGGTTTTTTGAAAAAATTGAATAAAAAAATTTTTTTTTAACTAAACCCGTATATAAAAATAATTTTTTTACACTGTGCCCGAAGGTAAAAAAAATACATATTTTACTGAATTTAAAATATTGATTTTCAATTTTACATGAAATCGTTTATATTTTTTTTTCTTTGCCTCTTTTGGTATTACAAGTATATATACGCTTTCAATTACACCGTGCGACACGATTTTTGACCCACAAAAAAATCCAACATTTTCGGAAATTAGGACCCAAAAAAAAATAACCGTGTCTGATCGTTTTGCTATAGATCAAGTCGTTTGTAGTTTTTAGGGATGTAAACAACCCTTAAATAAAAATATATTCTTTAAAAATTATTAATATTTTATAAAACTTGGTATCCGGGGGTTTTCGGGGTCACTGATTATTAATCTGATGTCAGATTTTCAAAATTTAAAATGGCGTATTCAATATGGCGATTAAATTTTTAAAAAGTTATTAATTTTTTATTTTATATCCGCCATTTTGAATTTTGAAAATTTAACATCAGATTCGACATCAGCGACCCTAAAAACCCCTAGATACCCAATTTTATTAAAAAATTAATAACTTCTTAAAATTTTGACCGCCATATTGGATCCGCCATTTTGAATTTTGAAAATTTAACATCAGATTCGACATCAGCGACCCTAAAAACCCCTAGATACCCAATTTTATTAAAAAATTAATAACTTCTTAAAATTTTGACCGCCATATTGGATCCGCCATTTTGATTTTTGAAAATTTAACATCAGATTCGAAATCAGCGACCCTAAAAACCCGTAGATACCAAGTTTTATAAAAAATTAATAATTTTTAAAAGAAATCTTGTCACTTTTCATTTAGGGGTTGTTATTACCCCTATAAAAACCGCACAAACAACTTGATCTAGCAAAACGGCCAGACACGTGGGTAATTTTTTTTTGGTCCTAGTTTCCGAAAATGTTGGATTTTTTTTTGGGTCAAAAAAAAAAAAATTGAATTTTGTCGGACGGTGTTATTCAATTAAATAAAATTACATACACTGTAAAAAATTTTGGGAATTATCACCAACTTTTTTTGGTGAATATTTCATATTTTTGGGGAAAATGTTTTCCCCAAAAAAATAAGTGATTGTTTTCCTAAATTTTGGTGAAAATTTCCTAAAATTCTAATGTATATATTTTCCCTAAAAAGAGTTGGTGAAGATTTCTCAAAATTCCAATGAATATATTTTTCCCCAAAAACAAGTGGTGAATATTCCTCAATTTTTTTGAAATCCTTCTTCAAAAAAAGTTAAACTTTAAACTTACTTAAGTTACAAAAAGTTATTTGTAACTTGTAATATAATTTATTCATTTCATAGATAAGTTAATTATAACTTAACTAAATAAGTATTTTTAAGTAGACAAAAATTTATATTTCTAAAGAATTAAATTAAAATTTAATCAATATTTGTTTAACAGATCTTATTTTATTTATTATATAACATAAGTCACAACTATTTTCAACGTTTGTTTCCTTTTTTTAAAGTTACAAAGCATGTTTACATAGTTTCATCTTATATATTGAAATTATCATTTTATTTTCATGAGCCTCCGTGGCGTAGTTAGTAGAGCGTTAGACTTCTAAATCTCTCCTAATGACGCTTACGTTCGAGACCTCATGATAATATTTGATAATTTTCAAGAAAACAAATTTTCATCAATAGGTACCAATAAATAATGTAAGTAAGATATAAATGCTACATGAATCAAATTTTTAAATTTTTATTTCAATTTTTTAAACTATTAATATTAATCTTTGGGAAAATTCACTAATATTTGTGGAATATTCCCTAAAATTTTAGGGAAAAGTTTCCCCAGAAAATTTTAGGGAATTTTCCACAAAATGCCCTGCAAATTTGCGTCACTAGAATTTTGGGGAATTTTAACCAAAAAATTTTTTACAGTGTAGACAATTTTTTTTTTATTTCTCCATCAATTTTTAATTTACGTCGGTGCAAAGTATTTGAAAAGAAACTTTTTAAAATGATCATTTCTTTAGGACAGCTTCGTTAAAAAGTTACAAGTTTTTTTGAACGGCGGCCGTGTTTCATATTATTATTGTCCGACAATGAATATCAAGAAATTTAATGACTTTTAAGCGTATTGTCCAGCAAATGGGACATGCCGAATGGCGCATATTTGTAATGGAGTATTACTTGTCGAACGTTAGCAATATCGGTAAGGGCATTGTCGAACTAACGGTTACGTGGTCAGTCCTTTCACCGTAAATCATAAAGGTGGCTGCTAAAAAAGTGGTAGCACAAGCGCGGGATCACCGGCGTTGAAACGCGACATGAAGGTATTACCGCGAAAATTAGCATAATGTCATCATAAATATCGAAGGCGTGTGCAACTCTTTTCGTGACGTGCACACGCATATATATATATGTAACCCGCAACGATTTCTCCTTTGTCGTCATAAAAACACCAATAATACAGCTTTTTAAAACCCGCGTGTGGGGCTAAAAAAGAAAGAGACAGAATAATTTTTTTTCAAAAATTTCATTTAACAAAACTTTAACCCTGTGAAAGTATTTTTAGTGCCAATTTCAAATAAATTAATTTCCAAATTGTGAAAATTGAAATTCAGACCAAAATTTTTGTTTGGATAAAAATTTGATTAAATATCTTTTGTTTAAATATATCAGTCTGATGATGATTTTATTTCCTTGATTTTATATGACAAATTTTCTCTTTGCCCAAAATTTTATTTAAAAGAATTTTAATTTAGAATTTTAATTCAGATGAATTCTTATATTCAACAGCAAATTTTGAATATTTCCAGAATCACTGAATCTTCATTTTTTCGAATTTTTATTTGTACCGAATTTTAATAGATCCGAATATTTATTTGTACGTATTTTTAATTGATAGAACTTTTATGACGCCGAATTTTCATTTGTCTGAAATTATACAAATAAAACCGAACAAACAACCTGCAGAAATATTTAGGCGCGATTTTGTATAAAATTAACCAAATCACAATCTTAATGTTGATGATTTGTGAGTGGTAAATTTTAACGCGACAAAATCT